GATTCACGAAGCAGTTACGCAAGCACTTACGAACCTGGGGCCAGATTCACGAAGAAGTTACGCAAGCACTTACGAACCTGGGGCCAGATTCACGAAGCAGTTACGCAAGCACTTGCGAACGTGTACATCTTTCCTCAATCTTTGACGGCTTTGGTTACATTTATTAAACAGTTTACAAGCATGAAAACTTGCCAATCAACTGTTGTTATTGTTATAAACAGCCTCCTGGTGCTTCGGAGCTCATTAACTGTTTAATAATTGTAAACAAAGCCGCCAAAGATTGAGAAAAGATGTACAGTTTCGTAATGCTTGCAAAACTGCTTCGTGAATCTGGCCCCTGACTTTCCTGCAGTCATTGACAGGTAAGTACTGCTAGGTCACATCCCCAGGATGCTGCCGGAGTGCCAGTGCCAACTTGTCATTTGTTTGGGCACCTCCCGGCCTGCAGGGAGCCAGAGAGGTTACATCTTGAGGTTATCTTGAGATGATTTCGGGGCTTTTTTAGTGTCCCCGCGGCCCGGTCCTCAACCAGGCCTCCACCCCCAGGAAGCAGCCCGTGACAGCTGACCAACACCCAGCTACCTATTTTACTGCTTGGTAACAGGGGCATAGGGTGAAAGAAACTCTGCCCATTGTTTCTCGCCGGCGCCTGGGATCGAACCCAGGACCACAGGATCACAAGTCCAGCGTGCTGTCCGCTCGGCCGACCAGCTCCCGGAGTGCACCAGAATGTGACAAGTCACTGATAGTCCGAAGCTAAACACCAGGGGACTTAACAATTCATGACGAGACAGCGGCGTGGGTGCCTTAGGGCTTAGGTAGTGCCAGGCACTCCCCCCTCACCTGGCACCCTCACCTGGCACTAGACTTACTGCTGCTCTAAACTACCGACAGTCCTCCAATCTGGGACACTATGTGTAATTTATGTATACATACTTAATAACAGAATTCAGGGGAAATTGAGCAAATACTGTATTCATTGCACTCAGACACGAAAAAAAAGATAGACAATTGGGCACATTATTGATTCTCTCGGGTAAACGCCTCAGCTTGTCCATTATTGATGCTATGACAAATGGCGCGTGAAACCAGATTTATTTTTCGGGCGATAAAATGCCACATCAAATTTGAAAGTCGAACCTGAAATGGAAAATAAAGTTCCACTGAATGAACCCAGCCGACACACGCAGCCATACGCACGTGTATATAAACTACAAGTAAAATACACCAGTATTCGTCTCAAGTTTTACGAACCAACAAAGTAGATAAATTCATTCTTCTCATTCACTCTTCTCACCATTAATGAAGGTTCACCAGGATCATTCATAACAGTTAAACAAATGTTTACATATTTACACACTCGCTTACCCAGATGGTTAGCGTAGGGAAGTACGACCAGCTGTGTGAGGGGTCAACCCGTTCTCGCACTTTCTTTAAGTCAATATTGACTTGTTAAATAAGTGCATATGTGACATACTAATTTATTGTGAATATTTTAGTTTACCTTGAAAAGCTTCATAGAAAACACCGACCTTACCTAACCTTCTTAGTATGTTAAGATAAACATCTTATTGCTTCGTAATTACAATTATTACTTAACCAATTATAGGTATAGGTTAAGCAATAATTGTATTTACGAAGCAATAAGATGCTTATCTTAACATACTAAGAAGGTTAGGTAAGGTCGGTGTTTTCTATGAAGCTTTTCAAGGTAAACTAAAATATTCACAATTAGTATGTCACATATGCATGTATTTAATAAGTCAATATTGACTATAAGAAAGTGCGAGAATGGGTTGGAGGGGTTTGGGGGGTATTGTGAGGACCTGGGGGGGGAGGGGGTGTTGTGAGGGGCTGTGAGGGGGGGTTGTAAGAGACTGGGGGGAGCGAGCGTGTGAGGTGATGAGCTCCAGTGTCACACTGAAGATAGTTTTAATACAATGTGAGCAAATATTTTACGTGTGTTTGCATGTCCTGGTTGATCAGTCCAGCAACCAGGAGGCCTGGTCGACGACCGGGCCGCGGGGACACTAAGCCCCGGAAGCACCTCAAGGTAAGGCATGTCCACCGTCACCTCTTGTTATTCGTGGTGGCTATTTCTCTCTCGAAGCGCTGCACTGCAACAGTAAATATGAACTCAATAACTGGACATTGCAAATCAATCTGTGTGACAAACTGGTGAGAAATGAGTCTCAATGACACCAGGACCTGGTGGCCCTGGAGGCTGGGACCTGGGGGTCCCTAGAGGCAGGGGGACCTGGGGGACCTGATGAACCTGGTGGCCCTTGAGGCAGGGGGGACCTGGTGGCCCTGGAGTCAGTGGGGGGACGTGGTATCCCTGGAGGCTGGGACCTGGGGCCCCTGAGGCAGGGGGGACCTGGGGGACCTGATGAACCTGGTGACCCTGGAGGCTGGGACCTGGGGACCCCTAGAGGCAGGGGGGACCTGGGGGACCTGATGAACCTGGTAACCCTGGAGGCTGGGACCTGGGGACCCCTAGAGGCAGGGGGGACCTGGGGGACCTGATGAACCTGGTGGCCCTGGAGGCTGGGACCTGGGGACCCCTAGAGGCAGGGGGGACCTGGGGGACCTGATGTGCCTGGTGGCCCTGGAGGCTGGGACCTGGGGGCCCCTAGAGGCAGAGGGACCTGGTGGCCCTGATGTGCCTGGTGGCCCTGGAGGCTGGGACTTGGTGGCCCGTCTTGGCAGCGTGCGAGGCAGACCTAAAAGAGGCATTCCTCGCGCCAAAGGGCTTATTTATGACAACTGTTATCGTATGGTGTTAGGAGACCTTAACAGCCCCGCCACTTACTGATAGCGTTGACGGAAGCCTTTCTACTGATTATGATTCCCCCCCCCCCCCAACACTGACCATTCCACCTTCAGACAGTTAAACGTCTTGCATCTGAAAGAAGTTTCTCTTTCCATCTTTTGTCTCATATTGTCTTTTTTTCCTGTACTTATCATCATCATATCTACTCGTGCCTCAAGCCTCCCCCTAGCAGTCACCAGGGGCGTCCCCCCTCCCCCCAGCAGTCACCAGGGGCGTCCCCCACCCCCAGCAGTCACCAGGGGCGTCCCACTACCCCCCAGCAGTCACCAGGGGCGTCCCCACCCCCCAGCAGTCACCAGGGGCGTCCCCCACCTCCCAGCAGTCATCAGGGGCGTCCCCCTCCCCCAGCAGTCACCAGGGGCGTCCCCCTCCCCCCAGCAGTCACCAGGGCCGTCCCACTAACCCCCAGCGGTCAGCAGGGGCGTCCCCCACCCCCCAGCAGTCACCAGGGGCGTCCCCCACCCCCCAGCAGTCACCAGGGGCGTCCCCCACCCCCCAGCAGTCACCAGGGGCATCTCCCACCCTTCTCCTCCCGGTGAAAGACTAATGAACATAAGGCGTGCTAAAAACAGCCCAAACGGTGAAGGTCTGGGACAAATGGCGGGAGGAGCGGCTCCGTAAAAATCCCCCTCACCAGGTGAAGTGAGAAGGAGGAGGACAGTCCACTTGGAGGAAGGGCAAGGATTATTCGGAGCGTGGGAAATCAGGGGCCGCTCCAAGCAACAGCCTGGTGGACCAAACTCTCACAAGTCAAGCCTGGCCTCGGGCCGGGCTTGGGGAGTAGAAGAACTCCCAGAACCCCATCAAGCAGGTATATGTGGGCCTGCGGGCCGCTCCAAGCAACAGCCTGGTGGACCAAACTCTCACAAGTCAAGCCTGGCCTCGGGCCGGGCTTGGGGAGTATAATTGAACACATTAAACACAAATTATACTTGACAAATAGTACAACGCAAATCTTGTACATAATCACCTGAAGACATACAGATCTTTACAGTTAATAGTCTTATAACAGTAACACTTAATGTATATATGCGAACAAGCCTGAATGGTCCCCAGGACTATATGCGACTGAAATATATATATATATATATATATATATATATATATATATATATATATATATATATATATATATATATATATATATATATATAGAGAGAGAGAGAGAGAGAGAGAGAGAGAAAATAAACCTGTAATGTATATATGTGGTGTGTGTGTGTTGGTGTTGGGAATAAAGCTAAGATTAAGAAAAGTCTGTCCTTAAAATAAGCAGTGTTGGCAGGCGTGAGACTCTTGGCACCGCTGGCACCCTTGCTAACCCTCACGTCACTGAGGCGTAAACACGTCACTGTTCCCGGCACTGTCGCGTGCAGTGCTCAGTGCTCACGTGTAGAGTGAGCACCCGTGCTGGGGCTCTTTAGTCTCCGTGCAACGTCTCCACCGGCTCCACGGTGCGTTAAGACGTCATTCTCACGTCTTATCAGACGTCAGAATGTCGTATGATAAGACGTCATTCTCACGTCTTATCATACGTCAGAATGTCGTATGATAAGACGTCATTCTCACGTCTTATCATACGTCAGAATGTCGTATGATAAGACGTCATTCTCACGTCTTATCATACGTCAGAATGTCGTATGATAAGACGTCATTCTCACGTCTTATCATACGTCAGAATGACGTATGATAAGACGTCATTCTCACGTCTTATCAGACGTCAGAATGTCGTATGATAAGACGTCATTCTGACGTCTTATCATACGTCAGAATGTCACTTTCCCGTTTCCCAGGTTGACGCAAAAGTTGAAAGTAACTACAAATGTAACAAATTTACAGGAGTCTTAATGAGGGTTCGAACCCGTGGACTAGGTGTTCCCAGACTCGCTCTAGCCAACTGCGCCACAACATGGTCAAAAGAATTGCACCCTGGAGTGCTACTGCCCTTACGAGGGTTCCACTGAAGCCTATCGTCAGGAAAGGAACACCCAGCCCCCAGGTTCGAACCCACAACCAACCTACGCATACCCTTCAGCCACTACTTTTCACAGCACCCCGTATTTTGAACGTTGGGGGGCAATAGCGCACAAACGCTTTAGTTGAGTGGACATGTTATGGGGGAGGAGGCTTAACTCTCAAAAAACGATACCCTTGTGAGACCTATACCAATATGACAGCATATTCTGAACACACCACCAATATGACAGCATATTCTGAACACACCACCAATATGACAGCATATTCTGAACACACCACCAATATGACAGCATATTCTGAACACACCACCAATATGACAGCATATTCTGAACACACCACCAATATGACAGCATATTCTGAACACACCACCAATATGACAGCATATTCTGAACACATCACCAATATGACAGCATATTCTGAACACATCACCAATATGACAACATATTCTGAACACACCACCAATATGACAGCATATTCTGAACACACCACCAATATGACAGCATATTCTGAACACACCACCAATATGACAGCATATTCTGAACACACCACCAATATGACAGCATATTCTGAACACACCACCAATATGACAGCATATTCTGAACACACCACCAATATGACAACATATTCTGAACACACCACCAATATGACAGCATATTCTGAACACATCACCAATATGACAGCATATTCTGAACACACCACCAATATGATACTTGTGTGGATAGAACACGGGTAATTATCTGTTTCAAAATCTATATTATATTCATACTGATATGTTATAATATTCATTTATGCCGACCTTTCATGTGAAATACATATTTTATAACTTTGTAAACATTGCATGCAATGTATCATACAGATTCCTTTGAAAAGCGCCACGTTCATCCAGGACGATACAAGCAGAGTTAATGTCGCCCACGATAGAAGCAGAGTTAATGTCGCCCACGATAGAAGCAGAGTTAATGTCGCCCACGATACAAGCAGAGTTAATGTCGCCCACGATAGAAGCAGAGTTAATGTCGCCCACGATACAAGCAGAGTTAATGTCGCCCACGATAGAAGCAGAGTTAATGTCGCCCACGATAGAAGCAGAGTTAATGTCGCCCACGATAGAAGCAGAGTTAATGTCGCCCACGATACAAGGACAGTTAATGTTGCCCACGATAGACGCAGAGTTAATGTTGCCCACGATACAAGGACAGTTAATGTCGCCCACGATACAAGCAGAGTTAATGTCGCCCACGATAGAAGCAGAGTTAATGTCGCCCACGATACAAGGACAGTTAATGTTGCCCACGATAGACGCAGAGTTAATGTCCCCCACGATAGACGCAGAGTTAATGTCGCCCACGATAGAAGCAGAGTTAATGTCGCCCACGATACAAGGACAGTTAATGTTGCCCACGATAGAAGCACAGTTAATGTCGCCCACGATAGAAGCAGAGTTAATGTCGCACACGATACAAGGACAGTTAATGTCGCCCACGATACAAGGACAGTTAATGTCCCCCACGATACAAGGACAGTTAATGTTGCTCACGATAGACGCAGAGTTAATGTCCCCCACGATAGACGCAGAGTTAATGTCCCCCACGATAGAAGCAGAGTTAATGTCGCCCACGATAGAAGCAGAGTTAATGTCGCCCACGATACAAGGACAGTTAATGTTGCCCACGATAGAAGCACAGTTAATGTCGCCCACGATAGAAGCAGAGTTAATGTCGCCCACGATACAAGGACAGTTAATGTCGCCCACGATACAAGGACAGTTAATGTCCCCCACGATACAAGGACAGTTAATGTTGCTCACGATAGACGCAGAGTTAATGTCCCCCACGATAGAAGCAGAGTTAATGTTGCCCACAATAGAAGCACAGTTAATGTCGCCCACGATACAAGCAGAGTTAATGTCCCCCACGATACAAGGACAGTTAATGTCGCCCACGATAGAAGCAGAGTTAATGTCCCCCACGATACAAGGACAGTTAATGTTGCTCACGATACAAGCAGAGTTAGTTGCACCGTTCCAATATACATATACTGTTTCTCACCCTTTAAACTGAGACCCGGAGCCAAGAAACACAGCCATTTGAGTGAGTGGTGTTGGCGTCAAAGCCATACGCCTGAGTTATGGGTAATTAACATATCCTACTTGTTGGGTGAAGAGCTTGTTAGCCAAGCGTACACAAACCCTTTTAAGTAAAAGTGAAATTATCGAGCTACAGTTTATATGATCGTACACTTAAATATCAGAGATTGAGATATCTATCAGATCAGATAGATATCAGAGATACAGATAGCATAAGTTGACATAACGAACAAATCCACAAGGGCCGTGACGAGGGTTCGAATCAGTCCTTTCGCCTAATGCCTCTGTTCACCTAGCAGTAACAGGACACTTGGTGTGGGTTGCATCCTGGGGAAGATCAGTAGCCGCCCTAATGTTGTTGTTGTTGTTAAAGATTCGTTACCTGGAACAAAAAGTTCCAAGTAGCACGGGCTATGGTGAGCCCGTAGTGCCGTATTTAGCCGCCCTAAGCACGGGAAAAGTACATGTGAATAACTTGACTCTGGAATATTCAATGAATTAATCCTCGCCTCACCCAGGGGGGGGGGGGGTGTAGTACACAGTCCGTGAACTGTATTTGGTGGGATCATTGTCTGTCTTACTGACCTACCAACGGTTGTTAGTAATGGTAAATGGTTTAAGTGCGCCCTTAGTAGTCCCGCCCGTGGCAACCATGAATATGAGAGAGAGAGAGAGAGAGAGAGAGAGAGAGAGAGAGAGAGAGAGAGAGTGTGTGTGTGTGTGTGTGTGTGTGTGTGTGTGTGTGTGTGTGTGTGTGTGTGTGTGTGTGTGTGTGTGTGTGTGTGTGTGTGTGTGTGTGTGTGTGTTTACTAATTGTGTTTTTACGGGGGTTGAGCTTTTGCTCTTTCGGCCCGCCTCTCAACTGTCAATCAACTGTTTACTAACTACTTTTTTTTTTTTTTTTTTTTTTTTTTTTTTTTTTTTTCCACACCACACACACACACACACACCCAAGGAAGCAGCCCGTGACAGCTGACTAACTCCCAGGTACCTATTTACTGCTAGGTAACAGGGGCATTCAGGGTGAAAGAAACTTTGCCCATTTGTTTTTGCCTCGTGCGGGAATCGAACCCGCGCCACAGAATTACGAATCCTGCGCGCTATCCACCAGGCTACGAGGCCCCTGTGTGTGTGTGTGTGTTGTGTGTGTGTGTGTGTGTGTGTGTGTTGTGTGTGTGTGTGTGTGAGTGATGACCGCTGAGGCCAACAATCCCATCTCGACAATAAACTAGCCCCATCGTGTTAATTCCCCGTCGCGATACTGTCACCAATTTATTTAGTACTCTTCGTCGTTATTATTTCACGTATCCGAGCCTGGCGCCGGTTACCGCCTGGCGCCGGTTACCGCCTGGCGCCGGTTACCGCCTGGCGCCGGTTACCGGTTGTACATGTTCACGATGGTAAACAGTGTCCTTCACACTGACAATGTCACGACGTCTCTCGCCTGAGGCAAGCCTCGTGGCACTGGCAGGTGTGTCACCGACCCCTACCTACAAGAACGAGTTCCAGGTACGCTCTCAGCACCAGCGGTCAACCCCTGGAACACTGAGCTTGGCCAGCAGTCAACCCCTGGAACACTGAGCTTGGCCAGCGGTCAACCCCTGGAACACTGAGCTTGGCCAGCGGTCAACCCCTGGAACACTGAGCTTGGCCAGCGGTCAACCCCTGGAACACTGAGCTTGGCCAGCGGTCAACCCCTGGAACACTGAGCTTGGCCAGCGGTCAACCCCTGGAACACTGAGCTTGGCCAGCGGTTAACCCCTGGAACACTGAGCTTGGCTAGCGGTCAACCCCTGGAACACTGAGCTTGGCCAGCGGTCAACCCCTGGAACACTGAGCTTGGCCAGCGGTCAACCCCTAGAACACTGAGCTAGGCCAGCAGTCAACTCCTGGAACACTGAGCTTGGCCAGCGGTCAACCCCTGGAATACTGAGCTTGGCCAGCGGTCAACCCCTAGAACACTGAGCTAGGCCAGCAGTCAACCCCTGGAACACTGAGCTTGGCCAGCGGTCAACCCCTGGAACACTGAGCTTGGCCAGCGGCCATGGAGATCCACCCTCCAGGCCAAGTCCAGCCCTCCCCACACCGCCTGTCGTTACCGGACTTAAGAATTCATCACAAGTCCTTAATACTCCAGCATTATGCGCCACCAACGATTTTTTCCCACAATGCTACGATGCCTTGCTATACTTTTCGTCCTCACCGCTCGAACGTCAACCACAAAAACGTCGATCCACTTTTGATGCTCATCCAATTACCATCGAGGGGAAATATATGATATATGCATGTTCTATTCCTTCACCATTTTGGGATAAACCTTTTTTCTGTTGCTTGTATAGAGAAGAGTCACGATTGGGATCAGACCACAAGTTTAAAAACGAATCCAAAGGGTGAATCAGAGGGGGAGATGGGGGCCTGGGAATGGGCCAGGGGTGGGACCAGGGGTGGGCCAGGGGTGGGCCAGGGGTGGGACCAGGGGTTGGCCCAGGGCCAGGGGTGGGCCAGGGGTGGGCCAGGGGTGGACCAGGGGTGGGACCAGGGGTGGGACCAGGGGTGGGCCAGGGGTGGGACCAGGGGTGTGGCAAGGGGTGGGCCACCCTGTAAACTTCTCCCACACAGTCATGTGCACCCTGTAAACTCCTCCCACACAGTCATGTGCACCCTGTAAACTCCTCCCACACAGTCATGTGCACCCTGTAAACTCCTCCCACACAGTCATGTGCACCATGTAAACCAAGTGTTGCGTGTAGTGCTGAGTACTGTGCACCAGCCAGTTTTGTCCCCCGTGATAATGCAGACGAGGAGTCACAATAACCTGGCTGATCAATGTTGACCAGACCACACACTAGAAGGTGAAGGGACGACGACGTTTCGGTCCGTCCTGGACCATTCTCAAGTCGATTGTCACACACTAGAAGGTGAAGGGACGACGACGTTTCGGTCCGTCCTGGACCATTCTCAAGTCGATTGTCACACACTAGAAAGTGAAGGGACGACGACGTTTCAGTCCGTCCTGGACCATTCTCAAGTCGATTGTCACACACTAGAAAGTGAAGGGACGACGACGTTTCGGTCCGTCCTGGACCATTCTCAAGTCGATTGTCACACACTAGAAAGTGAAGGGACGACGACGTTTCGGTCCGTCCTGGACCATTCTCAAGTCGATTGTGGTGATGTCTAGTGTGACTTCTCTACCTCCGAGTACTACACCTCAATGTCTGTAACAATGTGAAGTCCTGCCTCCCTCTGTAATCACCTTGTTGTGCTCGCCTAGTTGTGCTTGCGGGGGTTGAGCTCTGGCTCTTTGGTCCCGCCTCTCAACTGTGTGTGTGTGTGTGTGTGTGTGTGTGTGTGTGTGTGTGTGTGTGTGTGTGTATACTCACCTAGTTGTGCTTGCGGAGGTTGAGCTCTGGCTCTTTGGTCCCGTCTCTCAATTGTCAATCAACTGGTGTACAGGTTCCTGAGCCTACTGGGCTCTATCATATCTACACTTGAAGCTGCGTATGGAGTCAGCCTCCATCACATTACTGCCTAATGCATTCCATTTGTCAACCACTCTGACACTAAAAAAGTTTTTTCTAATATCTCTGTGGCTCATTTGGGCACTCAGTTTCCACCTGTGTCCCCTAGTGCGTGTGTCCCTTGTG